AATACGACATATATTTTTGAATATTTCTATAATACGTTTAATATCGTGTATGTGTGAGTACAGTTTGGATTAAACAAAACATACCTTTTCTTTAAAATATAAAAGGCATTTAATATTGTTGACGTCGTGCACAAAATATAGATTCATATTAAAATCGACATAGGTCACAATTTAACACGGTAATAATATCAAATCCGTCCAGAAAGTTGTTTATCTCGGCACTAGCATCCAATAAACAGAGAGAGACATCAAAATCCGCAAAGGTAATGCTTAGGGTGTCTTTGATGGTCTGAGCATCATCTAGAACTCCTCCCACACTAACAATCTTAAGAGGGATTATTTTAAGCTCAAGGTAGAATCCGTTTTGCTCTACGGCTCAACAAAATGGACACTGACGAAACACCAAGAAGCATCACTTGACGGAATATGCACAAGGATGTTACGAGTTGCATTGGATATCAATTGGAAGAAACACCCAACAAAGAAACGCCTGTATGGGCACCCTCTTATTTCAGTTTCGCCAAAAGAGAAAAGGCTTCGGCTAGCTTGTCACTCCTGGAGAAGTAAGTCATAATTTGTGAGTGACACTCTCCTATGGAACCCACTGTGCGGCGAAAGATCGGTCGGAAGACCTCATCACGCCTACATTGACCAACTTGTAGATGACTGTGGGTGCCATCTGGAGGACCTGCCGATGACAATGTCTGACAGAATGTCTTTGGGTTCTGTCACTGGATCTAACTAACGCCTCAAGGACACATGGCTCAGTGGATAAAGACGTTAGTTAGATCCATTGACAGGGCTCAAAGATTGTGAGTTCAATACCTGGTTAAGGCAGTGGAGAACTTTCAGAGGGGAATTAACAGGAGATAACTGACATCCATTAAACATGGCACGTGGAACTAGAACAGTCTATCCCAGTGAGCGAAATAAAGGGTTTAGTTCGACATTCCAACCGCCTGAAGAAGGCCGCCGCGTACAATGGCCGAGACGTTGTGATAAACATGGCGACAAAGATGAGGACAATAGTCAGAATAATGTAAATAGTGACTTTATTGCGTTATGTATATATTTGTGTATTTAGGCAGCAAATTCTCTTTTAGCCATGTCTGATTGAATAATCTACAAACACTATGTCTGCTTATTTTTATCATAATCCTTTAATATTCACAAATATTTTCATGTCTATTACATACTATAGTATATACGGAAAATATTTGTGAATATGAAAGGATAATGATAAAAATAATCAGACATAATGTTTGTAATTTATTCAGTTAGACACACACACACACACACACACACACACACACACACACATATATATATATATATATATATATATATATTATGGAATGGACAAAGTCCAGCAATTATTTTAAAGATATTTTTATGTTTATACATTCTTTTTATAGATAAAATATATAAGTAAATGACCTGTTTCTAATAAACAGTATTTTTTAACATTTACCGGCCTGAATGTCCGAGAAATTTTCATAGTAAATATTCATCCTTCGACAGAATAAACAGATGAATAGACAGATAAACAGAGCATTTACTTAAATATTTGTATCTATAAAAAGAATGTATGAACATAAAAATGTCTTAAAATAATTGTCGGACTTTGTCCATTTCATAATGTGTGACGTCATTTGTTTACATTTGGATACGCTTTCAGCAGATATGAATATACATGAGAGATTCATTGAAGATTGTAGTTTAAAGGCAATAAAATCGAACGCTAACCGAACGCTCCCCTGTGACCAAAACGGTTAATGGGACGTCAAGCTATATGACGGTTCCGTATAGGATACAGGTTCGATTTCTGTCGGAGGACAAATATTTTCTAAAATTTCTCGGACATTCGGGCCGTTAAATTTTAAAAAATACTGTATTTACTTAAATATTTGTATCTATAAAAAGAATGTATAAACATAAAAATGTCTTAATATATATATATATGTGTGTGTGTGTGTGTGTGTAGAAGGTTCTTCCATACGTCTACCAGATGACAACTCCGTACTGTCTATAAGAATCAGCTGATAATTTCGAAGCCTTTGCCAAGACCACTGTGGCTATACAGGCAGCAGATTCGATTATTATATTCATAAACGATCATTGAAAATGGGAAAGGAGACAGAAAACATCTGTTTACATATTTAAATGTTGTATTTATATAATTCCTCACAAATGCTGCATTTATATAATTTTTCACTTCATTCGGAATCTTTTCTTGCTGTTGGTTGTTTTACTGAAATCCTGATAATGATGACCAGATTCCACTAAAGAAAATTATCCATTTACATTCGTTGAAATTCCTAAAAAAATCCTGATCAGGCATCTCGACTTCAGTCACTTTCTCACCGACGTGACGTGGGCTTCCCTTTGTCTTTTCTACAAATATTTTTCGACTACATGACTTTAAGCGTGCTACTAGATTGGCATTTAGGTCCCACACTTTTAGTATTAAATGTAACCGTCACTTCTATTCCACCAGTTTATTTTCTCTCATTTTCCCACCTGTGGAACTCTTGTCCGATTACTCATTTCCTTGATAACTACGATCTTCTTCAATTAAATGCAACGTCAACCGCCATCCTCTATCTTCTCATTTTTGTTCTCCACTCAACCCTTCCTATACTCAGTCTTCTCTTTCACTTTCACTCCCTGTAATCTCCACCCCCCGCGTACTAGTGGCATTCCCGCCTTGCTTGAAGTGAAATGATTTAAAAAAATATTAATTAGTTTTTTTTTTTTTGCTTTTTTTTTTGACATTTATTTTTGTCTAATATTGTGCGGTTTCCTCTGGGATAAAAGCGATATTTTTTACTGCTTGTGAAATTAAAATAAAGAATGCGAAATATGAAATAAAAATACAAAATAAGATAAGAATAAAATAACTTCGTTGAAGGAATTGGGAGAGAGAAAGAGAGAGAAAGAGAGAGAGAGAGAGGGAGAGAGAGAGGGAGAGAGAGAGGGAGAGAGAGAGAGAGAGAGGGAGAGTGAGGGAGAGGGAGAGAGAGGGAGGGAGAGAGAGAGAGAGAGAGGGAGAGAGATAGGGAGAGGGAGAGAGAGAGAGGGAGAGAGAGAGAAAGAGAAAGAAAGAAAGAGAGAGAGAGAGAGAGAGAGAGAGAGAGAGAGAGAGAGAGAGAGAGAGAGAGAGAGAGTGAGGGAGGTATTGGCAGGGTAAGGAAAAGGAATAATTTGAAAAAAATTTAGAGTTTTTTGTTCAAAGCTATTTTTGCTTAAATAAAAGACGACGTTTTTATCTTGGAGAAAATGAAAAGAAGGAAATTACTTCAAACGCGGTTGAAATATTTGCTTGTAATAACATTTACCTCATTTCAATTTAATCAGGTACAATGTTATTAGAATAATAATAATAATAATAATAATAATAATAATAATAATGATGGAAAATGTGCAGGAAGGAAAAGAAAAGGCGAATAGAAGAAAAGGAAAAGCGAAAGAAGAAGACAAAAAGAAAGCAAAAGAGGAAAAAGAGAAGAGGAAAGATGAAAGAAAGAAAGAAAAAACGGATGACGTAAGTAAAAGAAGACGTGGAAAACAACGATAAAGATGGAGAAGAAGAGGTGAAAAAAGTATTTTTTTCAAAAATCAATTCACTCCAAGTAAGGTTATAATGACACTAAGACGCAAGTGGATACTGTGAGTGAAAGAGGCTGAGAAGACTTTAGAAAGAACCGGAAATTTCAATCCTAAACAAGAAAAGTGATAAACGTTTACTCCTGTTCAAAAGACCGGAGAGGAGTGTGAACCGGGAAATAGGCGAACCTGGAGGAAGTTAAAGAGAAGAAGAAAGATGGAAAAGATACAGAGGAATAAAAGAAAAAAGGGGACAGAATGGAAAAGAAAAAGTGAAGCAGGAAGACTAAAAGGAAGTGAAATAGAAGGGGAAAAGAAGAGAAAAAGTAGAAAAAACGAAAAGGAAGAAAAAAAAAGGAAAGAAGCAATAATTGAAGAGAAAATGAAAGAAAAAGATACAGAAGAAAGACAAAATGAAAGAAAATGGTATATAGAGAGACGCTACTTCGGATTTCTGTGTCACATTTTCCGTCGTCTGTTACGACATTACTCAGATTTTTGTACCAACTTGATTTTGACATCCCCACTACGTAGATTACAGCTTGGCTTGTCTATTTTGCTGACGACTATACATTCTGTTTTTCTTCAGAAAATAGTAATTTCTTTTTGCTTTTCTTTATTACTTTGTCTGAGAATTCATTCCATTTCGTTTTAGGGTCGACCATCGGCAATGTCACATCTGTCTATCTTATATGAAATGTATCAGTCAGTTAAGTGTCACACGTGATACACGCTTAGGGGATCTTGTATCTTTCGATACATGACTGACGAGGCAGAAGATTTTTCCCCAATAGGTTGCCATTTCTTTCTGTGGTAGACTGGTTGCCAACCAAGGCTAAATAACCCAGTCTATCCTGTTATTCAACCCATAGCTTGGAGGAGAAGAGATGGATTCATACCTTTCGCAAGGTTATTTGAGTGCAAGTAAATGTAACAAACTCGACTGGAATTCGAACTCGGCTCCACAAATATCCGCCAACAATAAATCCTAATCGGTTTTCTGATTCTTTTAGGATTGTCTCGTTGCTTATGTTTAATAAATCCGGTGAGACGATCCACCCTTGTCTTATTCTTTCTATCTTTTTTTAATTCACTGAATTCGTTTTTACCTTGTTGCAGGTTGTTGTTCTTAATAATAATATTGTAACTGACATTGCATTTAATGGCCTAATTCAGCGGTACTTAATGGAAAATTTTGTCAAAAGTATTTAATTGAAAATGCTGTCAAAAATTATTTAATGGAAATTCTCAAAAAATATTTAATGGAAAATGCTGTCAAAATTATTTAATGGAAAATGTCAAAAATTATTTAATGGAAAATGTTGTCAAATATTTTATGGAAAATATTGTCAAAAATTATATAATGGAAAATGTTGTCAAAAATATTTAATGGAAAATATTGTCAAAAAATATTTAATGGAAAATGTCAAAAATATAGAATTTTTTATATTGCATCGAACTGAGGCCATGTTTTATTTCTGAAATCGGGAATTCTCATTCATTTATTACATAGAGAGAATAGGATTTGGAGAAAAAAAAGAAAAAATTGCTTGAAATGACATTTTCCTCTCTCTTATTATTTGGTTGTCAACAAAAGAGGCAGTTCAAAGAGTGAGTTACATATTGGTGATGCCAAAATCAAGCAGGGTCTATGTGGGTAGTGAAATAGCAGACGACGAAATCCAATGGCACATAGGGACAGAGAAAGATGTCTTTCAGAAACCAACCAATTTATTAAAAGATACGAAAAAGTTGTTAGAAACAAAGAAAAAAGTGCTGATGTAATATCTAATCTCCTATATATCAGTGAATACTGGACAATCTCCGCATACCTTTTATAAACTAAGCAGAGTATTAAAAAAATAGGAAAATGTCGTTAGAAACAAAGAAAAGTGCTCTGAACTGCCATATAATATCTAATCTCCTATATGGTAGTGAATGCTGAACAATCTCTTTATGCCTTTCATAAACTAAGCAAAGTATTAAGAGATAGGAAAATGTTGCTAGAAACAAAGAAAAGCACGCTGAACTGCTATGTAATATCTCATCTCGTATATGCATGCAAGTGCTGACACAGTCAGCGAGGAGACTTGAAGCGACTGATGTTTTATGATCGACGAATACTGAGACTGCCATGGACAAAATATTTGGGTATAGGTTGATTTATTTGTTTTTTTTTTACGGCACATCAACCTTTTGCAGCCAGAAAATATTTTTACACTGTAAGAATTTTTTGAAGATGATAATGATTTATTGATACAATTCCTAATAATTAACTCATAGCAGAGCAGGGGAAGAGGGGGAGGCTACTTTTCCCAAAGGTATTTGCGCGTAAGTGAATATAACGAACCCAACTGGAATTGGAACACGGTTCTCCATTATCCCTTACACCACATGCACATTCAAGCTTACAACATCTGGTGTTCCTAAGCGGGCATCCATCTAGATATTGATCAGGCTCGATGTTGCTTAACTTCGGTGATCGTGCAAGAAACGATTTTTCAACGTGATATATGGCCATGATGAAATATGAGGAATTCCAGTTATCGAGAGCAATAAAAGAACTTGTGGAGAGTCATGATTATCCATCTCATGAAGGGAAGCCACACATAAAAGATTAATAATTATGAATAATAGAATTCTAATTCCGCCATTTTTATTTTTCTGGATGCGGACAATTCATAATTCATGAACGCACGCCTTAATCCACTAAGCTATTTCTCGTAGGACAATCCCGAGTGTAGACCTTTAGCCTTACATCTGACCTGACTATTGATGAACGTTGCTGCTGTTTGTCACGTTTGACAGCTTCACCAAGGCTTATCTTTTGTACTGTAGTTGCCGCCGTCGTTGAAGACTTCCTCTCCTATGTTTATTAACGTCTTCCATAGCATATTTCACAACGTCCTCTTTCTTAACGGTGTTCCTAACCTTAATGCCCTCCCCTCTTTGTTCAGTCAGCTATTTTCACAAGCTAGTTAGAAACGTTTCTCGATATTTTCCTCTGTCCTTCTTGCTTACAATATGCTTATAAATTGTTTACACGCTTCGCCATTGGTATTCTCAGCATTCTTCTTTACAAACACATCTCTGTTGCCTCAAGTCTCCTCTTCACCAGTGAAGAAATAGATCGTTAGTCATTTCAGTACAGGAGAATTGATATTACATATCAGAATATACCGTACAGAAATCGATCGCCCTGGGTAAGACGATAAACTACATCCGAGTCCTGGGTAAGACGATAAACTACATCCGCATCCTGGGCAAGAAGATAAACTAAATCCGAGTCCTGGGTAAGACGATAAACTACATCCACGTCCTGATTAAGAGGATAAAATAGATCCGAGTCCTGGGTAAGACGATAAACTACAACCGTGTCTTGGGTAAGACGATAAACTACATCCGTGTCCTGGTAAGACGATAAACTACATCCGCGTCCTGGGTAAGATGATAAACTACATCCACGTCCTGGGTAAGACGATAAACTAGATCCGCGTCCTGGGTAAGAAAGCCGGAGCGTACAACGGCCGAAGCGTTGTAATAAATATGGCGACAAAGATGAGGACAATAGTCCGAATAATGTAAATAATGTTCCTTTAATATCTCTAATTTTTTACAAGGAAATAGAGTTGAATGTTTTCCTGTTACCTTCACCATAGTTTTGAATGCAGAGTTTTCATTTTCCTAGACTGTTTATCTTACTAAAAATAAAAAAATCCCAATCAGCTTTACTATTTACGAGGGTTTGAAGTATTATTATTGTTATTATTATTATTATTTGAGCTATATTTCTAGACTGATTACCCTAGCAAGGCTCGAGAACCCAGACTGCTCAACTATTTAGTTAGAACTGGATTTAGAATTGACCTTCTTCTAGACTGGTTTTCATGCCAAAGCTAGAGAGCTAAGTCTGCCTTACTATTTTACTCATAGCAGAGTCAGAAAAGATGGAATGAGCCTTTCCTAAGAGCATTAGAATGAAATGAGCGCTAAGCTTCGTTCGGAATTTGAATTAAGTTCAACTTTTTAGAAATCGACTTGTACACGAATATATACGTCGACGTCCTTGACCCCACTTATTTGTAAGCTGAATGATCGATTTTCTTGAAAGGGACCATCAAAGTTTTCGTGTGTTGCTGGGATGGCAAAAGGCAACATCATTGCAGAAGACATCGTATTTGATGAAATTGCACCTGGGCGGATTTTGTTTTTTTTAATCAAAAAAAAAAAAAAACGCTAAAAAGGATTTATCTACACCTATTGAACTGCAGTCAGTATTTTCAACCAATTAGATTGCGCACATGATGACAGGTACACATGCACCAAGTAGTAACGTCATTGGGTGAATTGAATTATTTGGGAGACACTGGAATTTGAGCAATAGAATGGTAATAACCAGTATAACTTTATCTATCTATCTATCTATCTATCTATCTATCTATCTATCTATTTCAGTCTTTCATATCTATCTATCTATCTATCTATCTATCTATCTCAGTATTTCATATCTATCTATCTATGAAAGCCTGAGGTATCTATCTATCTATCTATCTATCTATCTCAGTCTTACATATCTATCTATCTATCTATCTATCTATCTATCTATCTATCTATCTATCTATTTCAGTCTTTCATATCTATCTATCTATCTATCTATCTATCTATCTATCTATCTATCTATCTATCTATCTCAGTATTTCATATCTATCTATCTATGAAAGCCTGAGGTATCTATCTATCTATCTATCTATCTATCTATCTATCTATCTATTTCAGTCTTTCATATCTATCTATTTATGAAAGCCTGAGGAATCTATCTATCTATCTATCTATCTATCTATCTATCTATCTATCTATCTATCTATCTATCAAAACAAGAACATCTTATCTATCTATCTATCTATCTATCTATCTATCTATCTATCTATCTATCTCAGTATTTCATATCGATCTATCTATTGAAAGACAAAGAAAATGAGACAAACATCTATTGAATATATCTATCTATGGATCACATCTATCTACGGCTTGGAAAAGATCTTACATATGATTGATCGATCTATCTATCTATCTATCTATCTATTTATGAGTTTGAACATATCTTCTATTTCAGTCTTTCATATCTATCTATCTATCTATCTCAGTCTATCATATCTATCCATCTATCTATCTATCTATCTATTTTGTTTGCGTTATATTATCTATCTAAATAAAGAACAACAGGTATCTACCTTTCATCTACCACGATTGAGAAGGAAGGAGACTATGTTCTATATATTTGGGGTCTGACACTTTTCTATTCATTTTGGTATTCTATCTATCTATTAAATCTGTTATAGAACAACAGACATCACTTTGACCGATATACCACGATTGAGAAGGAAGGAGACTATGTTGAAAATATATTTGGGGTCCTGACACTTTTCTATTCATATTCATCTATACTATTAAATCTATAGAACAACAGACATGGCACTTTGACCGAAACCTCTTATCACGATTGATGAAGGAAGGAGACTATGTTGAAAATATATTTGGGGTCCAGACACTTTTCTATTCATTTTGGTATTCATTCTATCTTCTACTATTAAATCTGTTGTAATTATAGAACAACAGACATGGCACTTGACCGAACTTTGACCGAACCTCTTACCACGATTATGAAGGAAGGAGACTATGTTGAAAATATATTTGGGGTCCTGACACTTTTCTATTCATTTTGGTATTCATTGTGTGCTTATACTATTAAATCTGTTCTAATTATAGAACAACAGACATCTATCGAACCTCTTACCACGATTATGAAGGAAGGAGACTATGTTGAAAAGTATATTTGGGGTCCTGACACTTTTCTATTCATTTTGGTATTCATTATGTCTTCTACTATTAAATCTGTTGTAATTATAGAACAACAGACATGGCACTTTTGACCGAACCTCTTACCACGATTGAGAAGGAAGGAGACTATGTTGAAAAGTATATTTGGGGTCCTGACACTTTTCTATTCATTTTGGTATTCATTGTGTGCTTCTACTATTAAATCTGTTGTATTATAGAACAACAGACATGGCACTTTGACCGAACCTCTTACCACGATTGAGAAGGAAGGAGACTATGTTGAAAAGTATATTTGGGGTCCTGACACTTTTTTTCTATTCATTTTGGTATTCATTGTATCTTCTACTATTAAATCTGTTGTAATTATAGAACAACAGACATGGCATCTACCGACCTCTTTTCTATTCATTTTTACTACTATTAAATCGATTGAAGAAGGAAGGAGACTATGTTGAAAAGTATATTTGGGGTCCTGACACTTTTCTATTCATTTTGGTATTCATTGTGTACTTCTACTATTAAATCTGTTGTAACTATAGAACAACAGACATGGCACTTTGACCGAACCTCTTACCACGATTGAGAAGGAAGGAGACTATGTTGAAAAGTATATTTGGGGTCCTGACACTTTTCTATTCATTTTGGTATTCATTGTGTACTTCTACTATTAAATCTGTTGTAATTATAGAACAACAGACATGGCAATTTGACCGAACCTCTTACCACGATTATGAAGGAAGGAGACTATGTTGAAAAGTATATTTGGGGTCTGACACTTTTCTATTCGTTTTGGTATTCATTGTGTGCTTCTACTATTAAATCTGTTGTAATTATAGAACAACAGACATGGCACTTTGACCGAACCTCTTACCACGATTGAGAAGGAAGGAGACTATGTTGAAAAGTATATTTAAAGACACTTTTCTATTCATTTTGGTATTCATTGTAAGCTTCTATATTAAATCTGTTGTAATTATAGAACAACAGACATGGCACTTTGACCGAACCTCTTACCACGATTGTGAAGGAAGGAGACTATGTTGAAAAGTATATTTGGGGTCAAGACACTTTTCTATTCATTTTGGTATTCATTGTGTGCTTCTACTATTAAATCTGTTGTAATTATAGAACAACAGACATGGCACTTTGACCGAACCTCTTACCACGATTCTGAAGGAAGGAGACTATGTTGAAAAGTATATTTGGGGTCCGGACACTTTTCTATTCATTTTGGTATTCATTGTGTGCTTTACTATTAAATCTGTTGTAATTATAGAACAACAGACATGGCATCGAACCTCTTACCATCGATTATGAAGGAAGGAGACTATGTTGAAAAGTATATTTGGGGTCCGGACACTTTTCTATTCATTTTGGTATTCATTGTGTACTTCTACTATTAAATCTGTTGTAATTATAGAACAACAGACATGGCACTTTGACCGAACCTCTCTACCACGATTGAAAGGAAGGAGACTATGTTGAAAAGTATATTTGGGGTCCGGACACTTTTCTATTCATTTTGGTATTCATTGTGTGCTTCTACTATTAAATCTGTTGTAATTATAGAACAACAGACATGGCACTTTGACCGAACCTCTTACCACGATTATGAAGGAAGGAGACTATGTTGAAAAGTATATTTGGGGTCCGGACACTTTTCTATTCATTTTGGTATTCATTGTGTGCTTCTACTATTAAATCTGTTGTAATTATAGAACAACAGACATGGCACTTTGACCGAACCTCTTACCACGATTGTGAAGGAAGGAGACTATGTTGAAAAGTATATTTGGGGTCCTGACACTTTTCTATTCGTTTTGGTATTCATTGTGTGCTTCTACTATTAAATCTGTTGTAATTATAGAACAACAGACATGGCACTTTGACCGAACCTCTTACCACGATTGTGAAGGAAGGAGACTATGTTTGAAAAGTATATTTGGGGTCCTGACACTTTTCTATTCCTGACACTTTTCTATTCCTTGGTTTTCATTGTGTGCATACTATTAAATCTGTTGTAATTATAGAACAACAGACATGGCATTTGATCGAACCTCTTACCACGATTGTGAAGGAAGGAGACTATGTTGAAAAGTATATTTGGGGTCCTGACACTTTTCTATTCGTTTTGGTATTCATTGTGTGCTTCTACTATTAAATCTGTTGTAATTATAGAACAACAGACATGGCACTTTTGACCGAACCTCTTACCACGATCTATATTTGGGGTCCTGACACTTTTCTATTCGTTTTGGTATTCATTGTGTGCTTCTACTATTAAATCTGTTGTAATTATAGAACAACAGACATGGCACTTTGACCGAACCTCTTACCACGATTGTGAAGGAAGGAGACTATGTTGAAAAGTATATTTGGGGTCCTGACACTTTTCTATTCGTTTTGGTATTCATTGTGTTCTTCTACTATTAAATCTGTTGTAATTATAGAACAACAGACATGGCACTTTGACCGAACCTCTTACCACGATTGTGAAGGAAGGAGACTATGTTGAAAAGTATATTTGGGGTCCTGACACTTTTCTATTCATTTTGGTATTCATTGTGTGCTTCTACTATTAAATCTGTTGTAATTATAGAACAACAGACATGGCACTTTGACCGAACCTCTTACCACGATTATGAAGGAAGGAGACTATATTGTAAAGTATATTTGGTGTCCTGACACTTTTCTATTCATTTTGGTATTCATTGTGTGCTTCTACTATTAAATCTGTTGGAATTATAGAACAACAGACATGGCACTTTGACCGAACCTCTTACCACGATTGAGAAGGAAGGAGACTATGTTGAAAAGTATATTTGGTGTCCTGACACTTTTCTATTCATTTTGGTATTTGTGCTTCTACTATTAAATCTGTTGTAATTATAGAACAACAGACATCCTGACCGAACCTCTTACCACGATTGAAGGAAGGAGACTATGTTGAAAAAGTATATTTGGGGTCCTGACACTTTTCTATTCGTTTTGGTATTCATTGTATGCTTCTACTATTAAATCTGTTGTAACTATAGAACAACAGACATGGCACTTTGACCGAACCTCTTACCACGATTATGAAGGAAGGAGACTATGTTGAAAAAGTATATTTGGGGTCCTGACACTTTTCTATTCGTTTTGGTATTCATTGTGTGCTTCTACTATTAAATCTTCTACTATTAAATCTGTTGTAATTATAGATTCATTGTGTGCTTCTACTATTAAATCTGTTGTAATTATAGAACAACAGACATGGCACTTTGACCGAACCTCTTACCACGATTGAGAAGGAAGGAGACTATGTTGAAAAGTATATTTGGGGTCCTGACACTTTT